CATCTACATGGCTCCAGCTATATAATTGGCTGATAAGGATGAAGATACGAGATGAAAGATATACAGAGCTCTGCAGGATTGGTGATAACCCTGCGTAATTCATGGCCGTTCGTTTGTTTCACCAACTTTTTTTTGCTTTTGAATAACATCTTTAATCTCCCAGCTTTCTGCACCTTTGATCAATCAGACTTTTTTAAAAAAAATTGATTTCCTAGCTCAGGGGTCGGCAACCTTAAAAGAGCCACCAAAGTCCTAAGCGGAAGCCCCCCGTTCAATTTTGGGGCCAACTGGAAGTCCGGTTTCCCCACCAGTCTCCTCCTAGTGAGGCATCCTTTTTCCTCTACCTACCCTACCCAAAAGCCCTAGCAATTGTGGATCCCACCAGAAAACCTGCACCTCACCATCCTCCTGGTGCACCATCCTCCCCCCTCCCAACCGGAAGCTCCTCTCAAAATTGTGGTGCTGACTGGTGACAGAGAGCCGCAACAGAGGGATGAAAGAGCCGCATGGGAGCTCCAGAGCTGCAGGTTGCCGACCCCTCTTATTGTAAATGAGATTCATACACTGATTTTGTGTGTGTGTGTGTGTGTGTGTGTGTGTGTGTGTGTCTTTGGTGGCTGAACTGGATGAGCTATTGGCAATTCCCACAAAGTTGATTTCTACTTAATCGCTTGGCCAAGTTAGTTTAATCATTGAATTCTGTGCTTCATTGAAAAAGCTGTTCTATTTTCTTTGGGTGGGGAGGTAGGTAGCTTTGCTCGCTTGATGGGTGGATTTATCCATATGTCTTCACTCTGTTTCGGTCTTCCCTCCAATAGTAAGAAGATTGAGAGGTATTGATTCAGAATTGGAGGTGGTTATCCGGTTTCCGTTTTCGTGAAATGTTTAGGCCTTATCATGACCGTGTAGGGAAATCTGAGCCTTCCTTTTACTAATCAGCTGCGTACTTTCATCTTGGGGCCGATGTCGCTTTGGACAGGATAATTTACTGGTAAAACTACGGTACTGTTTATATTTAATTTGAAAATACCATTTCTATCTGTGAGGTCGAAGATAGAAATCAAGGTGCTTCGGGGGGGGGGGAAATATCACTTACCCTCTTACGGACTGCATTTGTTACCTGAATGTGTTCCGAAGGTACAACTTTTGAGCTTTGCAACTGAGATGGACTCTCTCGCCACAAATCTTGCAGATTGAAATATCAATTCAGGGCTACTTCCCTGGCGTGTCCTACCCGGATATATACTCTGCGGAGATGATCTTGCAACGTTGAAATTCAGTAGCAAGCACCCTTGTGGTCGGGCTGCCCCAAAAATCCTCCGTTTTCTCCTCTTAACGATAAGAGAGAGAGAGAGAAAAAATACCTACTGAAAGGAGATAGCTACTACTGTGAGAATAGCAATTAGAGTTTATCGGAATATTTTTTTATACGATAGTGTATTTTTATAGAGAGATGTATATAAAGCATACACACGCACACATCCTGTGTAGTCTCTTGGGAGTCTGTGATTTAAAATATAGCATTGCAGTCACAATCATATTTTCACAGCATTGGAAAAGCGAAATGGAGCCAAAAGCTGCTAAAAGAGTAACAAGAAAATGCAAAAACAACAACAACAACATTCGTCTGTCTGATTATTTTTCTAGAGCGCTTTGACGAGAATATTGTAAACCGTTGCTCGGATTAGTTTCTGGGAGAAAAACATCACTTAAGAATAAAACAATAAGGTTACATTCTAATTCAGTGTTTCTCAAGCTTGGCGACTTTTAAGTCCTGTGGACTTCAACTCCCAGAATTCCCCAGCCAGCATAGCTGGCTGGGGGATTCTGGGAGTTGAAATCCACAGGACTTAAAAAGTCGCCAAGGTTGAGAAACACTGTTCTAATTGCTGGCAAACAGCGTTCAAGTGCACTTTTCAAAATTACACTTCCATATTATTATTATTTTTGTTAGAACTTGAAATTTCTAAAAGCGTCGTGCGGTGTGTATGTGTGCATGTATGTGTAAGGGTAACCACTAAGACAGACTTTTGTGCAAAAACAATGTACATGAAACAACTTCCAGTTGTTAAATCAACCAGATTACCATGTTTCTGTAACACCAACCACTGTGTGAATTTGCAACGGGGAGGGCCTGGGGCGTTACGAGTAAAATGTGTCATTCCAGTACTGTATGAAGATTCCCCCCCCCCCCCCAATGTGTAAGATCTCATTTACATCTCCCTTAACTTAAATCTTGTTCCATCCAATGCCAGCTGTTATAATAAAAGTCTTATTGTACCATTTTCAAAGAAAGCATGCTTACTGAGATGTGTTAATAACAACCGAGTGAAACTTCAAAGTTTATCTAGGTATTTTAAGAGAGTTTTATGAGGGGAAAAAAACCCTCCAAAACAATTGGATATGTTTTGAAGTCAGAGATGGGTAAATGGGAACCTGCCCTTTTGAGCTCTTGAAGAAGGAAGTCCCCTCCCCAATCCATTTAGTGGGGGTGGGGGGGCTTTGTGAGGCTGGAGATACTGGAAGCTTTCCCTTACCTTGCTACGGCCAAATGTGAACAATTGTGTGAAATCACACCACGAAAATATATTTTTGTTAAATTTTTGCCAGCAAATCTCCCAATTTACTAGAATTATGTATCCATGGATGCCCAAATTTTTTTCCAACCCATTGCCACATTTCTTGGATCAGTAATTATTTTGGTAGTTCTGATTTTGTGCCAAATTGTCTCTGCGTCTGTAAATGTTATAGTGCTGGAGGAGCCGAGGTGGCGCAGTGGGTAGAGTGCAGTACTGCAGGCTACTTCATCTGACTGTTATCTGCAGTTCGGCGGTTCAAATCTCACCAGGCTCAAGGTTGACTCAGCCTTCCATCCTTCCGAGGTGGGTAAAATGAGGACCCAGACTGTTGGGGGCGATATGCTGACTCTGTAAACCGCTTAGAGAGGGCTGAAAGCCCTATGAAGCAGTATATAAGTCTAACTGCTATTGCTATTGTTTTGTAATACTTGAAAGTTTTATGCCATCGGACCTCTGTATTTTCAGACTATGGGGCAATATAGCAATATTCTACAAAGGAACGGAATAGTCTCTCCGTAGTTGGTTAAACTAAGCTTCATCCTAAGGAACAATGCCACAAACCTTGGTTCCTGCCAAAATTTTACAGTAAAGATTACACCACAAAGACTAAATTATTCTCATAGTAAGCTATCAGATGGTGTGTTTGGGTTTAAGGAATTGTGTGAATCCAGCTGCTCTCCAACTTCTCATGGATTAACATCATATGGGAGAAAAAGCCACAAGTTATAAAGACTCAGAGCTTTCTGAAGGGCAGCACAACGGTATGGCTTGTTGTTTTAAACTAGTTTGATCTATATCCTACTGAAAGCCTCATATGGCCATACTTGTCTTAAAAACTTACGTATAAAGAGGGATAAGGGAATGCAAAGCTGCTCATTTTGTCTTCTTGGGATTTGCTGGTACCTCACAAGAATACTTAAAAGGTTTTCTTTAATGTGCTTTTGAGCATGCAAAGTAATGGCAGGACATACCGGCTATCTCAAAGTTTACAGCCCGGCCTTTTCCCATGCTGGGTTTTTCAGGGCTCCTGTGATGAGCTGGGGTGCGGCACAAAGGCAACGTAGCCAGACAACCTTTATTAACACCAACTGTGCCCCCAACGTCCCTTTCACTCTCCAGCCTGGAGAAAAGCTTTTCCACAAACCTGCAGCCCAAACGCTGTAAGCAGAATGGCGGCAATCAATTACGCCAGCAGGGCAAAATAGGGAGCCCCAGGAGCGAAAGATAACTCCAGCAAGAGGAGATAAAACACACAGAAGGTCGTAAATACTTCAAACAGTAGGGAGGAATGCAGGCCACAATGCTACACTAGGTGAACTCAGCCTTTGTTCCCAACAAACCCCCCTCCCAATTGCTTCTCCTTTAAACTCCATCCCCAGGTGTGCCTTGCAAAGGGAATCGAGGCCTTTTCCTTCCTTGTAAGCCCACCTTTGCGCTCTTCTGCATTCCAATCTCTTTTTAAAACCTCTCAGTGCTCAACCGGGAGACTCTCTAGGATGAGGAGGGGGTGGCCCTTGGTCTTCATCTGAATTCCCTCTCCCTTGTTCTACTTCTCCCTTGCTCTGCCCAGCCTGACCCCCGTTTCCTGCACAGCCAACGGAGCCACTCTCCTGCTTTCTGTCAGCTGTTCCTCTTCCATCTCGGAGTCAGACTCTGAGGAGGACACGATCCCTTTCTTACCCAATTATTTGTTACCATGCAGCACACCAAATCATACGTTTTGGCAAACCGTTTATTGAAGCACTGTTTACACAACACCTACAGTGCAACCTGATAAAATTGCCTTTATACTTTGGAGTGCAACAATTTTAATGACTTTCCTAGGCAGTTAAAAATCTAAGGTGACGAAGATAGAACCAAAGCGGTGATGCCATGACACACGTCGCCTGTAGTGAACTGGGAATGTTCAGTTCCTCCAGATTTTTCTGTAACGCTTCTCCCAGGCCAGAGGAATAAATCTGAAATAAAGCTGTAGCTTTCATTTTCGTGTCAGGCAAAACAACAACAATAAAGCATGAAACAATTGGAAGGCATAGGAGATGGATAAAGATGTTGGAGAGGAATCCCTTAGAAGAATTGGTTGCATTCATGATACACCACAAAACCTCTTCCAAAGGTGTCTGGTGGATTCCTCTGTGGACATGCTTGCAGCTTCTGTGGCACGTATCAACTTCGCTGAAAAGTCCTAGGTCAGTTATGGACTCCAGAGATGGAAATCTGGTATTGCTGTTTGTTGCACTTAGCTTCCTGAAAGTGTCCAAAAAACATTAGTTAGAGCGGCATAATGCCTTTAAAATATAAAAACGTAAGAGTGAAAATTATCACTGGAATTCAGTCTATCCAGGCAGAAAAAAATAATCACCTGCCATTTCAGATGTTACTTTTAAAAGATCCTTTCTCAACTGAAATTATCAAAATTGAAGCAAGGCGGAAGCAAGTACACAGAGAAATTCTTCTTTCAATAAGCTTTCCAAATTTAAAATTTTGCTTCTAGCAATGCACCTGTGGTAACAAGTCTTCCCATTTTTAATTTCAGCAAATTAAAAGTCGCTGGAGATTCTTTAAATTCTTAAATGAAAATGAGGTATTTATTTGAAGAACCTGCTGCTCCAAGTACATCTTGAAGGCGGCTCTGGAAAGCCCTTTAATTAATATCTTAATATCTGCTTTTTCTGTATAAGAATCTCCACTTGGGTTTTCATTTTTAAAAAAACAGAAACAGACTCTACATTGTACAAAATGTAGTAACAAAGTATGCCCTTACATAAACAAACTAAGCAACTGTTTTCAACCATGTAAAGAGAGTTACTCTGTCTGAATAGCCAAGTTTACTTTTAAGGAGGTTCATTTCCATCTTGGCATCAGTTGCAGATTTTGTTTTCTATTGCACTAACACTCAGCTTGTTATATTATCACAAACAGGGTATGATGGGAAGAGGTTATAGGAGCCATGACATACTCTTAATAACCACAATAAAGCCATTAATTCTGGGTTTTTCCCCCCAGTATTACTGGCACCAGTGAAACTTAACAGTTTTAAGTTATAAGGCAAAAATACACATCAATTCTCCAATACCAATAAGGAATAAGCCTGGAAACCAAAGGCAAAGTTTGATCTCACAGAAGACAAAACACATTTGCTTTAGAGGATGTTTTACACTGGTTAACAGTGAACTCTGATTCTGCCTACTTAATGAACAATTTATGCTTTGTGGTCTGTTCATGTTTTTATTATTTTGCTTTACAACAAGCCTGGGCTCATTCCAGGAAATTTAGCACCTTACAGGTCCATACTGCAAATATCTGGAGAAACCCAATGCCTTCCAAAGACTATAATGTTCTATAACAGAGCTGTCCAACCTTGGCAACTTTTAAGACTAGTGGACCTCAACTGTCAGAATTCCCCATCTCCAGCCAGGCTTAAAAAGTTGCCAAGTTCGGACACCCTTGCTCTACAGTTTTTCACTGCCGAGTGTGTTGTTTTCAAACCTGTCCATTTCCTCTCCTTTCTACTCCCCCCCCCCCGGTCTCATCCCTGTTCAGCGATAAAAGCCTTTTTGTAAAACACGCACCAAATAGCGCCTCTGGAGAAACAGAACTGAAATATGTGGGAAGGCTCAATTTTACCCTCTCCAATTACAACCTCTGGTGGGAAACTGCTAGTAGTCATCAGACTTAAAAAAGAGGCATCTTCAGTCCAACTGCTGTAGGACTGGGAGATTCTACAAGGCATACCTTTCCCATTTGTGTCCTAAACTCTGAAGGTATGTGTGCACAGGGCAAAATCTTACCCTGCTTCAGATGGAGAAAATAAGCAAGACTTTCCCCATTATGTTACTTTTATGGACTGGGTAGTCTGGAAGTTAATGTGCCTTACGGCACAATTTTCAGAAGGGGGAAAAAAAGGAGAGCCGAGGTGGCGCAGTGGTTAGAGTGCAGTACTGCAGGCCACTTCAGCTGACTGCTATCTGCAGTTCAGCGGTTCTAATCTCACCGGCTCAGGGTTGACTCAGCCTTCCATCCTTCCGAGGTGGGTGAAATGAGGACCCAGACTGTGGGGGCAATATGCTGACTCTGTAAACTGCTTAGAGAGGGCTGAAAGCCCTATGAAGCGGTATATAAGTCTAACTGCTAAAAAAAACTGCTGAAAAGAACTTGTAAACACACAGGAAAAGTTTCTCCATACAGCCACATTAAAACTAGAATTACATTTTTTTAAAAACTCCCCAGAGCAAGATCAGATAATATTATCAGAAAATAAAAGAGGGAAGTTACAGGGAAAGAGAGAAGCACTATAGTTCTCCAGGGGTGTTTAAAGCAGATTTTTACTAACTTTATTTTGTTACGGGTTATTTTTCCCTCCCTCCCCAATTCTATACCAGTGTTTGCCGCTGACAAACTGTAACTCAAATGCCTCTTACCTCTTACCTCCTTCATTCTTCTCTGCAAATCCCTTTTTGGCACCAGGTTGTGAAGACGTGGCTGCTGGAATCTCAAAACCCGAGGTGGCCACACTGCTAGTCAGATATTTTTTTTTTCTGCATTGGCTGAATTTACCTCTTTCTTCCAAAATTTCCAGGGCAGCAGGAAGTGCTGTCAAGGCACAAGCAAGCACTTTGCATTTGGCATTAGGCAGGCATTATCTTGAAGAATAGCTCATAAGGCCACTTATCCAAGTAGCAGCAAGCAGGTCAAGTTTGTGGCAAGTGTTACTTGCAGCAATTTGTAGTGGGGTCTAAAATCTTTTGATCCTTATCACACGTTTGACCCACTGACTACAAGCTCCCAAGATTAGGAAAGAATGGTTTAATTCTAAATTGACTGATGGGTCCAACTCTTGGTTTGAAGATAAAAGTTACCCTACGGTGATCTACGGAGACTCTTTTATGGAAAGGAAAAGAAACTCCAATAAAAAAAATATGTATTATATTTGAATATCTTTTACCCCCAAATGAAACGTCAGCCAACAACACAGAGTACATTAAAAAGGTACAGTTAACATGGATTTTCAAGTGAGATCCCAGCATGCAAATTTAATAACGTCACATGCATGCGTTTTGGAGAACTTTTCTTGTGGATAGCACAAACAGTCCCCACGTCCTATTATAATTTATATAGGTCAGTAGTTCAAAGAAAAGTTGTTTATATATGACCGAGTTATCTGCAGTCCTTTCAATCTCCTTAAGAGGATAAATAAGTTACTCAAGCTGATGGAGATCAATGATCTCAGGAGTGCCTATTAACAGATTGTTCCTAAGAGAAAGAGGATCCAACGAGAACTTCAGGCTGTTGCTCCTGAAATCGGCATGAAATGCAAACATTCGGTGTCCAAACTTCGGCACAAGGATTCTGAAAAAGAACGACACAAAACACATCTTAAATTATGCAAGCAGAACCTAGCGAGGTGCTTCTGCTAAGAAAAGCTTTCCTAGTAGGGGGAGGTTGCTGTCTCCAGGTTCTCAAAAAAGTTGGCTGTAAAGCATTGCTTTTCTCAAATCTATTTTACGCCATCAATCTGTGCATATTGAAAATCGAAACCATTATAAAAATGAGCTCTGTTATCGGCTAGAGAGTCCTTCAGGAAAGCAATAGCACTTAGACTTATATACCGCTTCACAGTGCTTTACAGGCCCCTCTAAGGGGTTTACAGAGTCAGCTTATTGCCCCCAACAATCTGGGTCCTCGGTTTTACCGTCCTCGGAGGGATGGAAGTCAACCTTGAGCCTGGTGTCCTTTGAACTGTCAAATTGCAGGCAACTGGCAATCAGCAGGAGTAGCCTGCAGTACTGCACTCTCGCCACTGCGCCACCTCGGCTCTTGCTGGCCTTCCCAGATAAAATAGTTTCTGAAGGCCTCTGAAAGCGAAAAGGAGGCTGGGGGCGACACACGCAAGTGTGGTGAGTCAATGGATGACGCCACACCCTGAAAATAAGACCTGATGCCTTTTTTGTTGCAAAAAAATATAAAAGACCTGGTTTTATTTTCGGGGAAATACGAAATACATTACAGCTGTGCAATGATCATTTAGCTCACTTCATGATCTGAACCTCAATATCTTACTTTATTCCTGATTCACTAATTTTGGACATTCAGAACTCAGGTTTCCCCTTATCTAAGTTGGAGAAACATAGACGAATACCTTTGATCGCCTTTGGTCATATAACTTGTTTAGAATATGAAAGAGTTTGCATGGAAAAACAGAATCTTAAACACAAAGGGATGTAATATCCCCCCATTATCATCCTCCCTGGTTAAAAAATACAGAATTTTCCTCCTTATATAGACAATATTTCAATACACTGCTGGCCACCTTTTCCTCTGCAGCGTCCCATCTGATTTACAGCAATTGCAAACCAGCAAGGTTAGGGCCACAATTTATGGAATCAATTTCAAATCTTTGGCCTGCTAGAAGAATGAGGTGTTTGAAAGGTTGGCCTGGGAGGAAGATTGGAAGAATGCAGGTTCAACCCTGTCCTTAAGCCAAGACACTCTGGTCACTTCAGTGGCTGAGGGACAGGTGGTGGAGAAAAACAGAAAGGAACTCTATACAGGTAGGCCTTGCCTTAGGACAGTTTGTTTAATGACTGCTCAAAGTATGAATGGCAGTGGGGGGAAAAAATGACATGACAATTTTTCAGCCGGCCGTGCTTCGCAACTGACTCCTATTTAGGATGACTGTAGTGTCCTGGAGTCATGCGATCACTTTTTGCAACCTTCCGACAAGCAAAGTCAATGGGGAAGCCAGGCTCACTTAAAAACTGTGTTGGTAACTTAACACGCGTGGTGATTCGCTTAGCAAGAAGGTTGTAAAATGGGGCAAAACTCACTTAACAAGTGTTTCACTTAGCAACAGAAATTTTGGGATCAGCTCTAGTTGTTAAAGTCAAGGATTACCTGTATTCACTGCCTGGAGTTCCTGAAGAATAGACGGGATATAACCCAATGAATAAAAACTTACAAACGGACTGTAAGAGTAAAAGGTATCATAAAAGCTTTACTTCCATGTTTATAGCCTGCCTTTTCTTAAAAGATTCAAGCCTTCTCCCCTGCTTTTATCCTCCCGATCATCCTGGGAAATAGGCTGGCCTAAAGGATAATGAATAGCCTAAACCAGGGGAGTCCGACATTGGCAATTTTAACATAGAAAACAACATAGATTTATTTATTGGCCAAGTGTGATTGGACACACAAGGAATTTGTCTTTGGTGCATAAGCTCTCTGTGTACATAAAAGATACATTTGTCATGAATCATAAGGTGCAACACTTAATGATATTAATAGGGTACAAATAAGCAATCAAATCATACTAGAAAAGAATCAATATAAATCGTAAGGGATAAGACTTGTGGACTTCAACTCCCAGAATTCCCCAGCCAGCCATGCTGGGAGTTGGAAGTCCAGAAGTTTTAAAGTTGCCAAAGTTGGACATTCCTAAGCTTAAACTCTCCTAGTGAACTCCCGTAATCCTGTGGGAAAGCAGAACCTGGGTCTCCCTAGCCCCACCACTACACTGGGTCTCCTGATCACAATTTCAGGGCCAGGAAAAAGAAAAACCAATCTGAAACGAAGGAGAGACATTGCCAGTCAGCAATCATAACACAGACTTGGAATAGTTTGCAAAATGTTGAAGGACAAGAGGAGAAATGGGCTGACGATGGAAACAAGTAATTTGATAGATCTGGGATTCACTGTAAAGGGAAATTCCAGGCTAGGAATTAAGCAGTTGGTCTGCAAGACCATAAGAAAGGCTGAGCACCAAAAAATGAGGCCCATGAAATATGGTGCTGGAGAAGACTCCTGTGAGTCCCTTGGACTGCAAGGCGATCAAACCGGTCAGTCCTAGAGGAAATCAAGCCTGACTGCTCTTTAGAAGGCCAGATCCTGAAGAGGAAACTCAAGTACTTTGGCCACCTAATGAGAAGGAAGATGGACTCACTGGAGAAGAGTCTAATGCCGGAAACGATGGAGGGCAAAAGAAGAAGGGGACAGCAGAGAAGGAGGTGGCTGGATGGAGTCACCAAAGCAGTCGGCGTGAGCTTCAATGGACTTCGGAGGATGGTAGAGGACAGGAAGGCCTGGAGGAACGTTGTCCATGGGGTCGCGATGCGTCGGACACGACTTCACAACCAACAACTCCAAGAGATCACATTCATTGCAGTGGTGGGATTCGAAGAGCTTCAGTCCTCTGATATTGAGCCCCTTACCTTGATGCACTTTGGTGCATGATTCTAATCCAGGCAAGGCTTGCTGTGTCTGTACTGCATGATATACATGGTTGATTGGTGCCACCAATATAACATCACCACAGCAAGAATGTGCCAGAGTTGGTGGCTGGAGCCGAGGTAGTTTAGCTGTCCTGTGGAAGAAGAGAAAACCAATTTAATCAGAAGGGAGTAAAGGAAGGTGCTTTCTTCTTCATCCAGATGAAGGTGAGGTACACAGACAAAGCCATTCAAATATATTTGTTCTCTGGCTGATCTAGGAATGAAGGGCCGTCTCACTTATGTTTGGCTCTTGAGTTTCCAGGTATGCCTGGCTGGTTACTGCTAACTATCGATTTGATGTTGAGGCAGACCCGTGGTGGCGCACGGGTTAGAGTGCAATACTGCAGGTTACTTCTGTTGACTGCCTCCAATTTGGCGGTTCGAATCTCACCAGGCTCAAGGCTGACGCAGCTTTCCATCCTTCCGAGGTGGGTAAAATGAGGACCCAGATTGTTGGGGGCCATGGGATGACTCTGTACACCACTTAAGAGAGGGCTGTAAAAAGCACTGTGAAGCAGTATATAAGTCTAACAGCTATTGCTATTTAAAAAATAGTGTACAGCAATGTTGATACTATTTTTCAAGTTATAGTAACGCATAGTGTGTTAAGTTGCACATCATGCTAAATATTCTCATAACACTGAATAACGTTCTGCAGATTTAAAGACAACATCTGCCTTAAGCACAATACTTAATAATTTAGGTGCCAAACCGGGGAGTTTTCTATATTTCCTCCAATATTTACTCTAAAACCTGATCACAACAGTAGCCAAAACAACAGTGTGCGTCTTTTATCTAGCTAGCAAACAATCAGGAATATCTTTACCTGGAAAATACCTTTCTGGAACTTTAGAAATATAGAAGAGAAATGCTGTGACGGCTATTAAGTACATCACAATCACTCGGGGAGCGAATTCCTGAGAAAAGAGAATAAAATATTAACTGTAGTGACTGAAAGCATCTAAGTTTCAGATCTCTGACGGATGAGAAAGAAGATGGTAACCTTTTTCAACAGATTTCAATTATTACATATTTTTAAAAAGCTGGATGACTTGCAAAATCTACCCAGTTCATTTTCCCATGTTTTATGCATTTCATTCAAAACAAAGAATTAAATATGGGGTACTAACAGTGTGGATTACTGAGCTTTCCCTAAATAAAAACAATTTTAAAAGAAAAAAGCACCTGGCTTTTCAAGAAATGGCAACCAATGCATTCACTCACAACTTTGTTAAGCGAATATTCCCATGTTTCCAGGTATCCTAATTTCAATACAAAGCAAAAAAAAAAAAAAAGCGAGGCTGTAAAAATGGAAAGCAAGTTTAAATACCAAATGTCCTCATGCTTGACGTTTTAACTGGTAATAACCAAAAGAAATCGGGTACCCTAAAAATGCCCTCGTGCCCAACTCAACTGATAAATAGCATCAGTGTGGTTATGAAAACAAATTATGTTCTTCCCACAGACTGTTTTTTAAAAAAATAATTTTAACATTTTGTATATTTATGTTTTGATGACTTTAGTAGATATACTCTGGGGTGGGAGGTTAGCATTTTTAAATTTGCAAGCTCCCAGAACCATGTGAGATGGACAACCATAAAATAAACAAGCAAACAAAATGCAGTTTCTTGGGTTTTGAAAGTATCCTCTCTCTGTGGTTTTCCAAGAGTTTCCCCCCCACAATTTCCAAGTTTAGCTAAATCCCAAATGGTCCTGTGTCCAAGTACTAACCGAGGCCAACTCCGTAAAGTCTCCAAGGTTAATCGTGGCTGGCTATGTGCTAAGCACTGCCCCCCACCAATAATAATGGGAAAGAGGCCTCCATAAGGTCCATAGAACCATCTGTCAGCGTTCCAAGTATCATGCAGAATTAAATCAGAGTCCAAGGCAAAATGATCCTTAAAGTTCCAATTTAATAAATCAGACATCTTGGTACATCTGTGGAATCTCAATTCTGGAAGTTACCTAGGATTCCCACCCAGTTGAAAGTTCATGATCTTGTCCCCACACCCACAAATCCATCACATGGTCCAATCTTCTTCTTCCACGCTGGCGTCTCCATCTGGCTGGTTCCGGTCAGGTGCAGAGGTGCGGAGACAAAGAATAACCTTGAGCTTCTAGAAAGGATTTTTTTCTTTTGAAAACAACACATCCCACCCCTTGCTATTCCTCCCCCCTTAATGAAAAGGCATATTAAAGATGAAGCTAGAAGAGAGAGTGTGGCAGGCCAAAGATTCTTAAAGGAACCACTGCAGGCCTGACACCATCTTTGGAGCAAATGTAGCGGAGCAGGTAACTGTTCTAGATTTACCTGTACAATAGATGCTGTGATGCCTCCATTAAGCCAAATCCAGTGGATGGTGGGAATAATTCCGTAGCCTGACACAGAGCAGAAGATGGCCAAGCGGAGTCGATGCCATTGCTGAGTGAGGTAATTGGGGTGAATCTGAGCGAAGAATACTGCCAAGATCATAGCAAGCACCGTGATCAAGTATACTTGACGCCAGTACTAGAAGGGGGGAGGGGGAGGGAGGGAAGAGAAAAGGGAGGAGAACTTTGTGTGAAGAAACCTGGGTACTCGCATGGCAATTCCAGCCAATGCTGGAATGTCTATTTTAAGCTGCTTTTCCAAAACACAGGGAACAACTATATAAATGAGGGTGGTGCTATTTGCATTTCCAAATATTGACAGAATAATTTTAACAGGAAAATAGAATTACAGAGTTGGAAGGGATCTTGTAGGTCATCTAGTCCAACCCCCCTACACCATTTCTAACAAATGGCAGTCCAGGCTCTTCTTGGAAGCCTCCAGTGATGAAGCTCCCACAGCTTCGGAAGGCAACTTCTGTTGATTGTTGGTTGATTGTTCTCACTCTCTCTCCTCATTTCCACATTGAATCTCTCCTTGATCAGCTTCCATCCATTATTCCTTGTCCAGCCTTCAGGTGCTTTGGAAAATAGCTTGACCCTCCCCCCCCTCCTCCGTGGAAGCCCTCAACTATTGGAAGACTGCTATCATGACTTCCCCTTGTCCTTCTCTTCACTAGACTAGCCATGCCCAGTTCCTGCAACCGTTCTTCATATGTTTTAGCCTCCAGTCCCGTAATCACCTTTGTTGCTCTTCTCTGCAATTTTAACACATATTATTCCTGTTTTGATTATTCAACTGTGAGCTAGCCCATTTGGGATGCTCCCGTGTTTGTTGAAGTAGCTTTCTTGGAATCTGCACTAGCTGTATACATTCCAGTCCCTGCTGCTAAGACTGGCTGACTTTCGTATTTTGATTATCTGAAAAGATGGAGTTGGGGTCCATGGATGGAGCCGAGGTGGCGCAGTGGTTAAAGGCAACAACGCAAGCCAACTCAACCGAACGCAGATCTGCAGTTCAGCTGTTCAAATCTCACCGGATCAGGGTTGACTCAGCCTTCCATCCTTCCGAGGTGGGTAAAATGAGGACCCGGATTGTTGTTGGGGGCACTATGCTGACTCTGTAAACCGCTTAGAGAGGGCTGAAAGCCCTATGAAGCGGTATATAAGTCTAACTGCTATTGCTATTGCTATATGGGCACTAATGGGCCACCGTCCCTTTCCCTGCTCTTAACTTTGGATATTTTTCTGGATATTTGAAGTTTCTATGGAATGGCAATTCAAATCCGGTGTGGTTGCCAATCAGAAGAAGCATGTACAGGTAGTCCTTGACATACAACAGTTTGCTTAGTGGCCATTAGAATGGCATTGAAAAAAAGTGACTAATGACCATTTCCCCACACTAACGACCCCACGGTCAAGTGATCAAAATTCAAATGCTTGGCAACTGACTCATGTATCGCGACTGCAATGTCCAGGGGTCATGTGACCACCTTTTGCAGCCTCCCGAAGAGCAAAACCAATGCAAAATGGGGCAAAACTCACTTAACATCCGTCTCTCTCAGAAATGGAAACTTTGGGCTCAATTGAGGTCGTAAGTCAAGGATCTACCTGGACTGTTTTAAGTATCAAGGTATTTATATCAACTTTGCCTGATCTGGAATGTTGCAGATGTGATGGCCCTGCCATTCCCAAACTTTTGAATGCATTTCTCAGCCAGAATTCTCAGGACTACTTGGAAAAAGCTACCTCAGACCACAGTGTTGAATATATGAAGGCTGGAATGGTTTTGGCCCACAGAGAGATAAAATTAGCAGACCCTCCCCGAAAGGCTTCTTTCCCAGTTTATGCTCGCTCGCTTAGATCCAACATTCTCAATGGGGCTAATATTGACGATCCAAATGAAAGAGGCACCATTTTTGGAGAGCAGCGTTATCCTCGGTTGTATTTGCTAAATTAGCCAGGCAAGCGATGCCTTTAGGTATGCAAATAACAGGTTATTCATGGGCTCTGAGAAATTGTAATTAAACAATCAAGGTTTATTCAGGATTCGAGTCGGCTTAGATGGAATAGCAGATTGGATTTTGAATTGGTTTATTTTAAATAGATTATACTACAGATTGGAACTCTGAATAAATAAACAATCAGATGTAGATACTTAATTACCGTATTTTTCAGAGTATAAGATGCCCCAGAGTCGTACTTTAGTTTTTGGGGAGGAAAATAAGAAGAAAAAAAATTCTGCCACTGCCTACCAGCATCCATGGTATTTAGCTGACACATGGTAACAAGGTCAGCCAATGAATATGCATAGCAACTAAATCAGTGAATGTGGGCTATCTGGACTATGAAATTTGCTGTGTGAGCAAGGAGACAGGAAGGAGCCTGGCTTAGCTGAGAACTGAAAGTCAAACTGCTTGTGTTCTGCTTGTATTTACTGCTACCTTGGAAAACCTGCTTTTCGT